GAGTGCCCCCCCGAAGGCTGACTTCAGGAGCATCCTTGCAGTTACTTCCTCTACCAGAGAGCACAAAGGATGGTCAAGAGATGGAGTTAGGGACAGAAAAGATGTGTGGAGGAAAATGGAGAGGACCCAGGTGAGGGAGCCATGGAGCCAGGGCTCTAGTCCTGAAGGAGACTTCCTGTTGCCTCCAGTCCTCCCAAGGGCTTGTATCCAGCAGATGGGAACTGAGATCCACAGCTCTGGGCCCTGGGCCATAAAACTGTTACTTCCAGTTTCCAGGGTCAGGCTGACTCCTTCGCAAAACAGAGAAAAGGAGAAAGTCGAGAGCAGGGCCCATGAGAGGCATGGACACAGGGTGACCAGAAGATGTCGGAGGTCAAGTGTGATGGGAGTATAGGGGGAGGAAGAGCAGGTGCCAGGCAGGGCCACAGCCTAGGCTGGGGTATTCTTCCTTTTCAGCTAAGGACCTAGCTGTTCCCTATCCTCCAGGGTTCTCATAGCCAGCCCCTGCTTTGCAGGTGTGGAATTGGGTTCTGGACCCTGACTGGGCCAACCTGAAATCTTCTTGGGTTTTTCCAGAGGCGGAGGGTGAGGGATTGTTCCAGCTTCCCGCACCGAGGAGGGTACTTGGCCAGGTTGCTGCTTCTAAGATGCCCTAAGGCAGATTCCCACACCCAGTCCCAGCTGCCCTAAATCCTTCTGAGTGTCCTGGGCTCTGCAGCTGACTTGGAGCTCCTTCTCCTGCTCAGACCCCTGCCCCGGAAGAGCACGTGCTTGGACACAGGCAGTAGGGTTCCAATACCTCTCTGGCTTTGCAGTAGCCCTCCATGGCCTTGGATTCTTCCTCTGGCCCCTCCCTCTCCATTCTGTTGAGGAGCCAGCAGAAGAGCTGCTGAGTGATTCTGGCTAACTCAAAGGGAAGGGGCTTACTGTCCTGTCCTCTCCTTCCTCCCTGATTGACACTTACAACACAGCTTCTAAGGCCAGAACTCAAAGCTGTCTTTGATCCTGAGATAAAGACCCGGGGTTGGTTTCTGAGGGTCTTGGAAGCTACCAGGTCAGCACTGGGGAGAAACCCTCTGTGGGTTGGGTGCAGCTGCCAGAGTTTTCAGGGATAGCGCAGCCTGGACCCAGCTGGGACACAGCGGAATGTTGTTGAAAGCACAGTAGCTTGTGATCAGAGTTGGAGTGTGCCCCTCTCAAAGGAAGCAGGGCGTTGAGAATTGGCAAGCCCTTGGGGTTGACACGTCTCTAAAGCGCCTTTCCTTCCCCTTCCTCTTCTGTTTTGGGCGGGTCCCTTCAACACTTCCCTTGTTGAGAAAGGAGGCCTCTTGTCCTCTTGTGTATGAGAGGGCCAACTCCACAGAAAACTCCATTTCCCTTGGCCCCTCAGCATCAGTAAGGCCCAAAAGGTGGAAAAAGCAAGGGCAGAACCGTTCTCGGAGGGACAGATGATGCCAAGAGCAAGGCAGAGGTGCTGAGGCCCGACCTTGGGGACTCCCATCTCTGCTGTGGGATCAGATGCTCTGTTAGCTCATGACAAACCCAACAGACAGCCAGGCGTCTGGAAACAAACACAGTGACAAACCTAAGAGACCGACCGTGTGATCATCAGCACAGACGCAGCTTGTCAAATGTGGGGCAACTCTGTGTCATCAAGAATATGATCAAGAATACGATGGAGCCATGGATCAGTAGCTGCCAGCACTGACTGCTCTTGCAGAGGACCTGGGTTCGATTCCCAGCACCCACACTGTGGCCCACAGCCTCCCGAACTCCAGTTCCAGAAGATCCATCTGTCACTTCGGTTCCAGGAGATCCAATGTCCTCTTCTGACCTCTGTGGGTACCAGGAACGCACATGGTACACAGACATACATGAAAGCAAAACACTCAGATTAACAAAAAAGGAGGAGGACTGAGAAGGACTGTTTGACAAGAATAGACTAAGGATGTAAAAATCCATAAATCCCGCACTTCTGTTAAGAGGCTGTCCTGCCTGGTTTTATGTCAGCTTGACACAGACTTGAGTCATCTGAAAGGAGGGAACCTCCATTGAGAAAACACCTCCATAAGATCCAGCTGCAAAGCATTTTCTTAATTAGTGATTGATGGGCGAGGGCGCAGGCCATTATGGGTGGTGCCGTTCCTGGGCTGGTAGTCCTGGGTTCTATATGGAAGCAGACTGAACAAGCCACGAGGAACACGCCAGGAAAAAAACCGTCCTCCTTTGGCCTCTGCATCAGCTCCTGCCTCCAGGATCTTGCTCCACTTAAGTTCCTGTCCTGACTTCCTTCGATGATGGACTACCATGGGGAAGAGCAAGCCAAATACACCAACCTGCTTTCAGGTCATGCTGTTTTATCCCAGCAATAGAAATCCTAACAAAGACAGAGGCCTCAGGGGAGAAGTGGCCATGTGTCCATTCGTGGATGACTCATGTTCATCTATAGACGGCAGATAAGCAGTGTGTGTTCATCTTATTGTGGTATGATACCCAGCCATAAGAAAGAAGTATTCAGATACCTGCTCTAGCTGGGTGAATCCAGAAGACAGCGTAATGAACAACATGAGCAAGGCGCACAGGGCCAAAAATGTCTGGTGCTATTGACATTGAGGTCCCTAGATTGGTGACCTTATAGACTCAGAAGGTTGAATAATGGTGGCCACCACTGAGTAGGGTGATGTCTTAGTTAGGGTTATATTGCTGTGGAGAGACACCATGACTACAGCAACTCTTATAAAGAAAACATTTAATTAGGGTGGCTCCCTTACAGCTAGAGGTTTGGTCCGTTCTCATCATGGCGGGGAGCATGGCAGCTGGGAGTGTGAGAGCACACAGGCAGAGCGGGGCTGGAGTAGTAGCTGAGAGTGTGACATCTTACGGGCTCTAGGTGGTATCCTGAGCATAGGAAACTTCAAAGCCCACCCCCACAGTGACTTACTGCCCCCCCCCCAAAGACTATACCCATTCCAACAAAGCCACACCTCCTAATAATGCCACTCCCTATGAGATTATGGGCTCCAATTACATCCATACTATCACAGGTGGTATCACTGAATGTAGACTTTCAGCTCTACAAGGTGAAAAAATTCTGGAGATGATGGTGGATACAGGGAAGCGCTCATTAAAGAGTGGTCAGATGGACTGGGCAGTGGTGGCTCACACCTTTAACCCCAGGACTCACAGAGGCAGGCAGATCTCTATGAGGTCAAGGCCTCCCTGGACTATACAAGATTGAATCTGTCTTAAGAGAAACAGAGCTCACACAAAGGTGATTTCAGCACTTGGGATCACACACCTTTAACCCCAACATGAGGGAGGTAGAGACAGAAGCAATGTGGTGGGCAGAGAAAGGGATATAAGGGTAAGAGGCAAGCGTTCAGTGGAGTGTGTGGAGTCTGAGGTCGGTGGAGGGCATTGCAGGATCACCATTTCCATCTGAAGATTTGGTAGAGGTGAAAGGTCTCTCTAGTGGTTGGCTGCTTTGTTTTTCTGATCTTCAGGTTGAGTCCCAGTATCTGTCTCTGGGTTCTTATTCGTGCTTCAATATAAAACAAACAACAACAGAGGTCAAATGGCCATTTTATAATGAGCTTCAGCCGTGTTAAAGTTAAATGCTGAGATCTGTGTGCTTTGCCATGCCGAGAACTCTGGGGCAGGCAGGCAAGAGCGCAGTTGACCCCAATTCACAAGAATGCATAACAGGAGAAGGATAATGACGGCCACCTACAGAGTCAGAGAAGACAGCTGTCCCTCCTTGAGGGGAGTGTAAGGCGGAGCTTCCAGGAAAGACGATCAGGTCGCAGGAGGCCACGTACACTTGTGCCTCAGCCCCCAAACCCTTATGCCCTCCAAGGAAGGGTCTGGTGTGTGTGGGGGCAGTGGTGTCGTGGTCAGGGGACCAGGGACAACCTTGCTTGTGTCCTAGATTCCCGGGGGGGGGGTGGAGGTCACAGCCCATGAACAGCTGTTTTCAGGAAGTTAAGATGAACTCTGTCTTTGCACCTGCGTGTCAGCTGCCTGCCCCACAACCCGAGGGCCAGCTTTCTAGGGACTGTACTTCCACCCACACAGATATGCAAATGTCTGTTAGAGATAGGGTAAGGAGAGAGGCCTCCCGTAGCACAGTCTTGAAGCCTGGCCTGGGTGGCTAGGTGGGCAGGGAGTAAGAAGGACTCCTATCCTTAGACTCTCCCAGGGATGTGCTGTCTGGGTCGTGACCTTTCTAACTGCTCCCTAGACCAGAGCCAGCTTTGCCTTTGCTACGGAAAGAACCAAAACTGGGGACACTGGGGACTGACAAGGGGTGGGGTCGAACAATACCCCCAAGCCCAGAGCCAGCCTTTCAGGTGGAGGCTGGTTAAGTCTGTGGTGGGTCACAACAGCTGCCATCTGGCATTTTCCAGAGAAAACAGGCTGCATTTGGATGTGAGAGGTATGAGCCCACCAGCCCGGGCAGCCCACAGGGTAGGACATTGCCCCTGCAATGCCACTTGCTTATTCTCTGGTTTTCATGGGGTCCTCATGAGGAAAACCACTTGCAGAGCTACTGGGTGAGGGCTTTGTCCTGAAGTAAAGGCTAGTTTCTCAAACAGAGCTAGGGTGGAAGTTACCCCTGCAGGGCTCTGCCCCCAGATGGTGGGGTACTTGCAGGGCACCAGATGGGCGCCGTAACAAGGGGCAGTGTGTCCGATCAGTGCTCTCCTGGCACAGGAACGCCCAATGTCAGACCCAAGAAAGGAACTGGCTATGTGACCTGCCCTGTCTGACTGAGGAGCAGGTAGGAAACTGCCTGGTGCAGCCATTTTAGCCTCCATCTCTGGGCAAAGGTGAGGTCTAGCTGAGGGTATCATGAGAGCAAGATCAAACCGGTCTGGAACTGTTTCCTGTCATCCCAACTCATTGTCATCACAGTGATGAAACTCTTATGCTCAGCCTGTGTTGTGGTTAGGGGAGTTTCAGAGTGAGCATGCTCAGACCCCCACTACTTCCTGAAACCTCTCAACTGGGCCCGTAGAGGGGTGCTCAGTGCTGCCTCAGGACTGGCCTACTCAGTGCTGCTTCGGGACGGGCTTGGGTAAGTCAGTGGGTTCTAGGTCTGGGGAGTGAGCCTGGGGTGGTGTGGGGTAGCCCCTTCACCGTGGTGTCTGAGAAAGATGTGTTTTGATGTACAACAGTGGGGCTTGGCCCGGAGTCTTTAACCAAGTCCGTCCCCGAGGGAACTCAGGGCACCATTCCCTCCCACGTTAGGGCACAGGGATAATAGCATACGTCATACTGCCCATGCCCTGATCTACCTGGATCCTTCTGGAAGATCTGTACCCCAATTGTAGGTACAGACAAGAGTGGAGGACTGGACTTCCTCTAACAGGGAACCGAGGGCCACAAAGGCCTTGAGAACATCCTGGGCAGTATGGTTGGTAGGGTGAAGGGTCCTCTTTCTAGGAGCCGCCTAGGTTTGGAGGCAGGTTCTGACAGTGGGGGCTCAGCTGGGAAAGACAGTAGTTTGTCTGGACATGGGTGAGAACCTGGGAGGGACCAGCCACTGGCAGAATGTTGAGGCCAGGCATTTAGAGTGCCCGGATGAGGGGATCTTGTAACTTCTACTGGATTTGTGAGGCCACCTGGGCAGATTTATGAGGTGTTCAGGTAAGCCACCGAGGACTGGAGGGTGAGGCAAAGAGTTAGTTGTTCTGGTCTTGCTAACAAGAGCACATGCGCAGTCACACAGGGGGTGAGGATAGAGATGATTCCCAGGGGAAGGTGGGTGGGACTTGCTGGCACAGTGCTCAGTTTAGACATTAGTCAAACTGAAATGCACACTAAACACTGGCATTTTTTTTAACATATCAAATTGGGAAGCGTGGTGTGGGGGATGGGCCACCAGCTTCACGTGATGTTTGGTTTACGCTAGCAATTTAACCTTTCCTGCCCAAAGGGCACTCTGAATTTGAGGATGGAAATGAGGTTGAAGATACAAAAATGAGGTTAATTTTTTTTTGCCTTCTTCTTTGTGTGTGTGTGTGTATGTTTCCATGTGTGTGGACATATATGCACATGAGTGTGCAGGCCAGAGACTGATGTCTAAAATCATCCTCAACTGCTCTTCCTCCTTCCTCACGGAGGCAGGGTCTCTCAGTCAAGCCCAGAGTCTGCAGATACAGCTAGTCTTGCTAGCTGGTTTGCTCTGGGGATCTCATCTCTGTCTTCTAAGGACAGACTTGCAGGTGGACTGTTGCACCCACCAGGCATCTATGTGGGTTCTGGGAATCCAAATAAAGGTCCTCATATTTGGACCTATATTCGACAAGCACTTTTACCACTGAGCTGTCTCCCTGGGAGAGTCTGGTAGGAGGATGGAAAAGGGAAAGATCAAAATAACCAGAAACGCCTGCCGCAAAGAAATGGGGCACAGCATGCTGGTGACTCCATGGGACAGTCCAGTGGCCCTCAGTTACAGTCCACCTCACACATCCCAAATGGAACAGATGGGTAGAAGCAGCAAGTGGCAGAGACAAGGGTGTGCTTCCTTCGTACTTTCCTGTCCACTTGCAAACCTCCATAACCCAAAGGTGGCCAACGTACTTCAGAAGCCTGGAGGGACGGTCATCCGTGCAGGCAGAGTACAGGCTCAAGGGTGTGGACATCACATGTGACATGTTGCCTGTGCATGCCCTGGGGACTCCCAGAACACCTCTTCCCAGAAGGTGGGTCTACTTAAGGGGCTGTGCAGCTGCAGGGGCTGCGTGGGATACGAACGCCTCTGGAGGAGGCTGGAGACAGGAAAGTGGAAGTGGGAAGGGTGATGAGAGCTAGGAGGCCAGGAGGAAGGTGTGGTTTGAAGACACGCTGGATAGCATCAGCGTTAGCGTGAGTGTAGACAAGGGGAAGTAAAGGTGTGGCTAGAACTCAGGGGGGCTAGAAAGGGACATCCAGGTGACATGGGCCCATTCATCGCATAGCCTGCTGGCTACAATACAAGTGACACAACAGGGTCATCATGCCGGCTGTGTTACAGACCCTTGATGGGTGTCAGCCTGTTACAGGTCCCTCTGAGTGTATACCAAGGAGGGGGAGTGAGTCCACCAGGTTCAGGCAGACATCAGGAGCATGTCATTGTGGATGCTGTGGACCTTGTGCCTAAGGTAGACCATCCTCTGCTAGATTCTCAAGTTTGGGAGCACACTGTTGCTGAGTCCTGATGAAAGTCTGCCATCTCTTCTCCCATCAGGGGTCAGCCATTCCCAACTAGCTCACAGATGAGATACAGTCCTAAAGATGATCCAGGATGTCAAGAAAAAAAAATCCTTACCCACAGCCAGGCTAGACCCCCATAGCAAGCAGAGAGGGCAGTGTCTACTTCTTGAAGTAGACAGACACCGGGCTCCTTCTTTCTCCAGTCTTTCATGTTAGCACTCAGCTGGGGTTCATAAGAGGGCCTGGCCCAGCCACTCTCTCTGAGAGAACTGTGGAGCACGGAACTATTGAGCCATGCCCCTCCCATGGAAGAAATAGCCCAGGTATTGCAAGATGACCACAACAACTGATCTAGCTAGGTGAGGGATCCTCAGATGATAGGCAAGAAAGGGGCCCTGAGTGTCCTGAGACAGGAAGACTGAGAACAGAAAGGGAAATAGCATGTAGCCTAGCAGGGTGGGAAGGGGCAACCCCAAGCCATGATGTGCTCAGAGAGCACAAGACAATGCCTGGAGCGCAAGGCCAAGAACTGTGTCAGGGCTGGGGGTACCCAAAGCCAGCTGTGGTGAGGAGGCCGCACCGTAGTATGTCCTGGTGCTGGCTGCTCCTTCCTGGGACTCACAGTTGACCTTCTTTGATGTGGGTGTTGATGCCCTGGGATTTAGGGACGTGACCCAGATGTGGATTTCAGAGCCTGTGTTTCCCTGTTTAGGGTGAGCAGACAGGTCACCACCCTATCTTCCTGGCCAAGCTCTGCTCACAGGTGACAGGGACTTGTCCTGCAGTTGAGGCTGTCTCCAGGCTGTCTCCTCCACCAGTGCATCCTTGCCGCAGGAGGGACGTGTCTGTCACGTTTTCTTTTGAGCCCTCACTTCCTCTGACTTCTGTAAAGTGGCTGAAAATAGAACAGCACCCTCTTCCTCATCCTCAGGGCTGCCAGGTGCTTAGAATAAACATGGTGCAGTCCTTGCAGGGGACAGACCTGGCCTTCTAGGCTGGCTTTGCCGGCTTTCCAGAACTCTAATCCTAGTTGCAAAGGAAGGCAGGTGCCACGTGGCCCCCACTGCTCTGACTCTGGGGTGTCAGGCTCAGGGCCATGTAATCACATGCCCATTCACTAGGAAGAGGCCACTTTTGGAAGGAGAGGGCAGCTGCTCGGGGGCTCAGGGGCTCAGCAACTGGGAAGGAAGCAGGGCTCCAGGTAAGCTGGTACCTGGATAGGTGATCCTGAGAGGAGTGATACACCAGACAAGGTAACACCCCAGATGGGTGGTGCCCAGGCAAGGTGATGTCTCCCCTCTGCACTCCAGGACTCACTGGATCCCCTCAGCCCTGGCCCACGCTGCTATTATCAATATCTGGGGATTCCTTAAGTGCATCTCAATTCTCCCTCGCCCTGGAACTCCAGTTTCGGGAGTAGCCAGAGAGCCTCAAATCTCTAACGAGAGTTAGGATGGACCTCTATACATAGTGCTCACTTAGGGCGGCCTCTGCCACGCACCTGAAGTTTGGGTGAGGGTCTTACTGACCCTTGGCCGGGTCCTCAAACTGTGCCTTACAGGGAGCTGGCCTGAGACCCAGAGGGACAGACAGACAGACATCTGTCCTGTGCTCAGCAGGTGAAGGTTTGTTGGGGGGACGCAAGGAGCCTGCTGAGGACAGTGCCTGGCAATGGCTCTTCCTGGCCTTGCCTCTCTGTAATGGTACTGAGGGGTGACTTCAGACTTCTGCAGAGGCTGGGGAACTTCGGTAATCTCAGCTGAATGGTTTGGCTTCTTGCTATTTCCAGTTTTCAGAAACAGTCGAGAAGGAAGCAGGGAAGGCTCCAGGGCTTGGTGTGGATGCCGCTGGGCTCACTTGGGCTGGCTTCCAGAGAATTTCAATAGAGAATTCCAATGGCCACTCCTGAAGGCCCAAAGTACTTTAGGCAGATAGTGTGATTATCTGTCTGGCTGAGGGGCAGCGATGGTCTGTGTTGTGGGAGCAGGTAGGGAGGTGGGCAGGCAGGCTGGATCCAGTGAGGAACTCCTCGAGGCCCAGCCCCCGCCCTTCGTCTGCAGGTCTGGGGAACACAAGGGTTTTGACAGACCTGAGTTGTCCCTTGGCTTTGTGGGCTCTGGATGAGGGTTCCCTAACGCGTCCCTCTCAGGAAGATGCCCTGAGAGTCTCCTATCGAAACCTCTTCACCTGGGGCACATAGGGCCGATCAGCCAGGGAAGGAAAGGACCTGCTGGATTGCCCAGTCTACAGCTCTGTGTGATGATGGCAGCTTCCCAGAGGGTCCTAGAGGGGTCCTTGTCCCCTTCATGTAGGTGATGAGCTTAAATATAGATTTTGGGTCATCAGAGAAAATCAGAGAAAAAAATTCCTTGAGAAGAATTTTAACAAGTTGAAAGTTAAGCTTTCTTTTATTTATTTATTTATTTATTTATTTATTTATTTATTTATTTATTTATTTATATTTATTTGAGACAGGGTTTCTCTGTAGCTTTGGAGCCTGTCTTGGAACTAGCTCTTGCAGACCAGGCTGGCCTTGAACTCACAGAGATCCGCCTGCCTCTGCCTCCCGAGTGCTGGAATTGAAAGTTAAGCTTTCTTAAGGTTGTTGGATGTGGGATTTCTTTTAAGCATCCTTCTACATTTGTAAGACTTCCTACAGCAGTTGGAAACTGACTACCAAATTGGGCTCTAAAATATTTGTGCCCACTGACCATTCCACCGTGTAGCTTCAGGTCACCGTGTCTTCAGTCTCCAGAACTGAACCTAATACGGAGAAAAAAATAAAACTATAAAACAAAACAAAAAGCAAAAACCCTCTTTCTCATGTTTATTTTTGTATTTCTTGTCCTTTTAGGAGCTTTTGCTAATTTTCCTGTGGAAGCTCACATGCCATCTAGCTTTGCCAACGATGACAAACAACAGTTTTAGCTATGGTACCCAGGGTGATGCGCTCATGTGCACTGGCTTCCCTGGCGCTGGCTCTCTCTACTGGGCTAACTCTTGTTGACCGTGGGGTGCACTAGAGTCTTTGTGGAATGAGTCAACCGTGTGATTTAATCTGAAGAGCTGGGATTACAGGCATGCAGCACCGTGCCTGGATGGATGGTTTGTTGTATGTGTGTGTGTGTGTGTGTGTGTGTGTTTGTTTGTTGCATTTTTACCTAAATCCATTTCAACTTGTCTTTCTCCAGGTTCTTTTAAGCCACCTTCATAAGAGGCACAAAGCCCACATTGGATCCACCATGAGATCAGAGCCCACCAGGGCAGCAGGTGAGACAGTCTTGTTTGACTTTAACACATAAAAAGGTCACAGGAATTCCTCTGTGGTACAGCTGGTCTCATCATTCAAAAATCAACATGCAGATTTCTGTACTAAAAACTGACTCAGAAATGCTCCATCAAGAGCCCAAGACGGGCAGCGGTGCCACACGCCTTTAGTCCCAGCACTCAGGAGGCAGAGGCAGGCAGGTCTCTGAATTTGAGGCCAGCCTGGTCTATAGAGTAAGTTCCAGGACAGCCAGAGCTACACAAAGAAACCTTGTCTTGCTAAAACAACAACATAACCCTCGAGGTGCAGGTGGGTGGTGGTGGCGCACACCTTTAATCTCAGTACTTGGGAGGCAGAGGCAGGTGGATCTCTGAATTCCAGGCCAGCCTGGTCTGCGAGCGAGTTTCAGAACAGCCAGGGATACACAGAAAAACCCTGTACTCAAGATGCAATTGACTGGGGATGTGACTCAGCTGGGTAAAGTGTTTGTTGAACATGCATGAAGCCTTGTGTTCAATCTCCACTATCACATAAAACCATGTAAGTGGCACATGCTAAATAGTACATGTAAAGCCAGCCTGGTCCAGAGGCTATCTCAATCAATCAATCAATCAATCAATCAATCAATCAATCAATCCATCTGTCGCCTAGTCCAGAGGCTATCTCAATCAACCAATCAATCAGTCAGTCAGTCCTTCAATACACAGAACTCAAGACTCACTTCATAAATTGTTTTGACAAGTGCTAGAAAAAAACCAAGTACAGGAGTGGGGGGACATTTGGTACTCTGAATGTCTACTCCCTGTACCATGACTAATAAAAACTCAGAGGAGAAATTGGGCTCAACCTACAGACCCACAAAGCCAAGCAGCCAGCCACTGCTCTTATCTCGATCTCAGTCCGAAATGGCGACCCTGCCTCCAGGAATCTCAGAATGAGATGTGTCTGAGAGCTGTCTCCTCCCACTTTATAATCCTTTCTAGGGCTGGGATTAAAGGCACGCACCATCTGATTTCTATGGTAACCAGTGTGGCTATGGGGGAGGGGGAATTAAAGGTGTGTGTCACCACTGCCTGGTCTGTAAGGCTGACCAGAGGGGCTATTTCACTCTCTGATCTTCAGGCAAGCTTTAGTTATTAAAATACAAATGAAATGCCACTACAGCTTCCTATGAGAGTGACCAGTGGTGAATCGTGAGCCGTCTGCTAGCCCAAGAGAGCCATCAGGAAGTCTCAGTAAGCAGTTGACAAGGAGCTTCCCGTGCCCTTTCCTGATGCCACTGTCCTGTTTACCAAGGTCACCCGCAGGGGTGTGGGTGTATGTGACAGGGCGTAGGGTCCAGTAGGGAAGACCTATAGGCTTATGTGGGCCTGAGCTGGTGGCAGGGGACGGAGCCACACCAGGGAATCTGTGACTGGACAGCGCAGTGTTGCGAAAGGCCAGGGCCCGGGTTGGCCCCAGATTGCATTTACTGTAGGTTTCAGTAAGACTGCACGGTATGTGGGCAGGGGTGGGGACAGAGATGGAGTGTCTAAACAGAAGGACAGGAGGACCGAGGGGTGCCTGACCCAGGGAATGGGAGCAGATCGCACGCATGGCTGAGGGTACTGTCACAGCGGTCAGAGAGCTGTCCAGGTAAGGAGTAAAGACCTGTGGCTCTCTGTGGCCCGTCCCTCACTGCCTGCTGGCCACACACAGGCAATGCCAAGATTTGACACTGGGGTTCAAGGCAGCTCACCCTCTTTGGAACCTCAATCTCAGTTTCTCCATCTCTGTGTGCTGAGTAAGGGCACCCAGACTGGGAGAGGACAGCATCTCATGCCCACTGTCAAGAAGGAATTTAAAAAAGACAGATACTGGCTAGCCCTGAGCTCTGCGGGTGGGAATGCAAAACAGAGCAGACACTGTGGGAAGTAGCACAGGGTTCCTCAGGAGGAAACAGAGTGGCCACGTGACCCAGGCCAGCTTGCTTTAGAGCTTACTCAAAAGGGATAACGGCAGAAATCCGAGTACAGCCATGCTCACAGAAGCGCTGCTCATAGTAGTCCCGTGGTGGGAGCAGCCTAGTGTCCAGACACACGAGAGGTAGCGAAGTGTGTGTGTGTGAACAGGCATGCCTTTGCCAGCATGCACATGTGAAGATCAGAGAACAACTTTCAGGAGTTGCTTCTGTCCTTCTGCTGCGGGATCCCGGGGTCAAACTCAGGCCATCAGGTTGGCAGCTCTCCCACCGCCTTCTAGTAGCTTACTTGTCCTTGGTATGGTAAATCTCCCTGGAGAGTTTCCATAGACTCCCATCCACCTTGCTATTTCTGTCCCACAGGGAACACCACGCTGGGGGTCCTCTCCCCTGAGACCTGCCACACATCCTATGAGGAGAGCAGAGTGGTCCTGGTGGTGGTGTACAGTGCCGTGTGCATGCTGGGCCTACCGGCCAACTGCCTGACGGCGTGGCTGACGCTGCTGCAGGTGCTGCAGAGGAACGTGGTGGCCGTCTACCTGTTCTGCCTGTCCCTCTGCGAGCTGCTCTACATTAGCACCCTGCCACTTTGGATCATCTATATCCAGAACAAGCACAGCTGGAACCTGGGCCCACAGGCCTGCAAAGTGACCGCTTACATCTTCTTCTGCAACATCTACATCAGCATCCTTTTGCTGTGCTGCATTTCCTGCGACCGCTACATGGCGGTGGTCTACGCACTGGAGAGCCGAGGCCACCGCCAGCAGAAGACTGCCTTCTTCATCTCTGCGTGTGTGTTTGTTCTTGTTGGGCTCGTTAACTATCCTGTGTTCGACATCACGTTGGAGAAGAACTCCTGCTTCGAGCCCCAGAGGATGAGCAGCAGGATAGCCAGCTACCACTATGTGCGTTTCACCTTCGGCTTTGTCATCCCTCTTGGGATGATCACGTTCACCAACCACCAGATTTTCAGGAGCATCAAGCTGAGCACGAGCCTGAGCGCAGGCCAGAAAGCGAGGGTGAAGCACTCCACCATCGCGGTCGTCACCATCTTCCTGGTCTGCTTCGCCCCCTACCACCTGGTGCTTCTCATCAAAGCTGCCGGCTTTTCCTACTACCAAGGAGATGGGGCTGCCGTGTGTGACTTTGAAGGCAGACTGTACACAGTCTCTGTGATATTTCTGTGTCTGTCCACAGTTAACAGTGTGGCCGACCCCATCATCTATGTGCTAGTTACAGACCATTCTCGGCAAGAGGTGTCCAGGATCCACACAGGGTGGAAAAAGTGGTCCACAAAGACAGATGTTATAGACTTAAAGGACTCCGAGGAGGCACACTCACCCACAGCAACCCCCTACACCTTCCCCAAGCCTGTGTATCCTCCAGGGTCACAGCTGGATGAGCTGGGCTTACAGTGCTCCCCAGAAAGACTGTCTGAGGAATTCTGCTAAATGCATTATACCTCAGCGGAGGATGCTAAGCCTTGAAACCAGCACCAGCCACGTATCTGTGGTCCTTTGAGCTACCATCTAGGGTGTCCGCAGCACTGTAGATTCCTTTCTGGAAGGCATACGGCTGATCTTTCTTCCTAAGGCCACTCCACTCTGTAAATATCTGTTCCTTGGATGTCCAGAACCTCCAGGCTCTCCTGCATGGGCAGTGTTCTGAGAGCAGCAATCATACCTGCAGGCTGCTGGGGACTCAGGGAGCACCAGGGACTCAGGGAACGCGTGGCTGGCAGGAGAGCTCGTCATCAGCAGGGCTCCCGACAGCCATCAGCAGGGTACTTGGCAGAGCCCTGGACAATGACTTTATTTTCTATGAATCTCCTGCATTGTCCAGTAGCTACTGCGGTGTATGTTGGCGCTTTCCACAGAGGGAAGACATGGCCTGCATCCAGGGTTACCATCATGGTATCTAGAGCTGTGACACAGCCAAAGAGCCATAGGGCAATAGGAGTCCAACCCCGAGGGCTCCCATTGGGAGATGGTTCTACGTTGACACAATTGTCTATTAGAGGAGCCATGGGGCATGGTGGCCATTTACTCTAGCTCCTGGTAGCCCCATATATCCTCGCTTGGGACCCCTCTGCCATCTACATTAGAAGTGCTAGTGGGTACCCCAGAAAGAGATTGGCATAGCTGCTACCGGATAAGGGGGTGTCTGGCATCTGACATGCCTTTCATTACCTTGAGCTTTTGCCCTTGGTGCCACAGGGGGAGTGGGCTGGGGCTCCTGAAAAAGCAAGTCAGGGGCAAGGCTCTCTGCCCCATTGGATCGGAGACAGAAACCTCAGGGCTCTGGGTCAAATCCCAGCTCCTCCATAAAGAGCCTCGTCTCAGTTCAGTCAGACCCATGCTTTTGTTGGTTACTCACTGCCGGACTAAGCCCCTCCCAGAGGAGACTCCTGACATACACGGAGGGCAAGGGCTAGAGACTGTGAGCACAGCAGGCTTTGGGGTCAGCCCTCATCTCGTGAGGTTCAGTTAGACCCATGCTTTTGTTGGTTACCTCACCACGTTACTCGCTGCTGGACTGGGCCCCTCCCCGAGGAGATTCCTGACATACACGGAGGGCAAGGGCTAGAGACTGTGAGCGCAGCAGGCTTTGGGGCCAGCTCCTCTGAAGCCCACACGTTACAGAAGCTCCACAGAGACAGATGAACGACATCCGCGGTTACCTTTCGCTCTTCGCTGGAAGAAGTATTGTCAAAACTTGAGAATAAGAACACACAAAAAAAGAAGTTGAACCTAACTTCCTTTTTCTATTTTTGATTACCTTTTATTGTTTTGAGACACGGTTCCTTGCAGCTCACTAAGGAACAGAAGATGACCTATTCTCTTGATTCTCTTGTCACGCCCTCCCAAGGGGCTGGGATCACAAGCACACAGCAGCAGCTTCTAACTTCCTCTTTAGTGGCTTTCTGTTTGTTTGCTTGTGTGTGTGTGTGTGTGTGTGTGTGGTGTGTGTGTGTACATCTGCAACCTGTATGGAGGTCAAAGGTTAACACTGATATCTTCCTGGATTGCTTTCCACTATTTATTGAGGCAGAGTCTCATGCTGACCCCAGAGCTCACTAGTTAGCTAGATAATTAGTTGGCTGTACTAGTTAGCCTGCTTGCTCCAGGAACCCCATCTCTGCCCTGCAAGCAGAAATGCGGTCCAGACAGGCCACCATGCTTGCCCTCGCGCCTCAGCTTTTTGTTTTTGTTTATGTTCCTGAGACAGGATTTCTGTGTAGTCCCAGCTGTACTGGAACTCTCTCTGTAGACCAGGCTGCCCTCAGACTCACAGAGATCCACCTTCTTCTGCCTCCCCAGTGCTGGAACAGCTTCTCTGTGGGTGCTGGGGTCCCAACTCTGGCCCTCATCTGTGAAGCAAACAGTTTATGAACTGTTCTCAGCCTCTCTGTTTCCTTTTTAAAACGTGGTAACAGCGAATGGCAGGCAGGTGGAGCAGGCCCCGGGGACCTCACAGTTTGTAGTACCCCAGGCAAAGTGAAGCTGAACTGTCTCTTATTCCCATGGCCACCCAAAGCACAGCACAACTGAGGATGGACGCCTGCTTTCTCTGACCCACTGATCTGCCCTCTCTCTGGGCGCTCCATCCTTCCTCCACAGGCTCCAGATGCCCTTTCTAGCAGCTTCTTCCCGCCTTAGCCCCTCTCCTCTCTTCAGGCTTAAGGCTCTGACATCACCTCTGGGCCATCCTCTCCAGCACCCCAGAGAAACGGTATCATTGGAATCCTCCACGGATCATGTGGGCTGGCCTGAGCAGTCTGAGGGAAAGGCAGGTGACCAGAGCCCCTGGCAATTCCCGAGTGGGGCTTCTACCTGTTTGGCTCCTCCTTCTCATCATGACCCTGAAGTCAGGAAAAATACTGAGGGGTAGGGAGGGGCTAAACTAAGAAAATAAAAATGGAGTTTGTTTTACTTTTAACAAAAGCACATGTTCTTGAATAACTAGGAGGATAAAAGATTCCAGAAAATGTTCCCACTGGAGACACCCTGGCTACCGGCTATGTGGGTGATTGCCTATATCATCCACCTTAGGGATTTCCCAGTAGACCCATGGCAACCTCTTCGACCAGGCTGGGAATCCCCACTTTTGTATGAGCGAGCACGTGCGTGTGAGTAACTGAACACAGACATTTTATCTTTTACCACTAAGATAAATCCCCAACTGGGAATCCCCACTTTTCAGGGAAGCAACTGAAGTTGACAGCGAGGGAGGCTGGAGGCAGACAGTGGATGGGGCCAAGAGAACAACCATGAGGAACCTGGAGTGGGTGTGTCTCTGAAGCTTCCTGTGGGTGATGCCCCTGCACAGACCAACGGGCTTGGGCCCCCTCAGCTTGGAGACAAAAGCTAGCAGGAAGGGTGGTGCTTACCCAAAGGGGCAGTAACCAGTACAACCTTCTACCTTTCATGAACCTGGTCCTTACAAGAATACACCAGGCTGCAAGCCAAGTGCCTGTTGCATGCTAAACTGTGGAGTACCTGGCTTTACCTTCTCAACAGTCGGGACGGCACCAAAGTCCTGGCCCTGCTGGCGTGTGCAGTGGACAGCTGAAGAGGTGGTGGGAGGGGCTGGTGGGGAGTACGAGCTCAACCCAACCCCTTAACCTTTGACTATTGCTCTTTCCAAAGGTCAAGTCAGGGCTTTGTTGTCACTGACCACAAACTTTTCAAACATCATCTTGTCGCGGAAACTTCCTGAGTTAGCTTGGGGCTAATAAGAACCTAGTGAGTGTGTCAGATACTCACTTCTTCCATCCTTCCAGCCATATCCATTGTGCACACAATCGCTTGCTCACTATTCACACACAAACACACTCACTCACTGATTCATCACTCCTCCCCTCCTCCCCGTCTCACACACCAACTCTCTCTCCATTCCTCCCTTTCCTGCTCACTCTTTCCCTGGTTCAACTCCCCTCGATCTCCTGCACACCTCTCCTCTCCCTTCTCCCCTTTCCTCCTTCCTCTTTGGTCTATGTACTCCACAAAGATCCCAGCAGTCCAGTAGTGAGGGAGGTGGGCCGTGGTGACGTTCATCACAGAGAAGAGATGGACAATGGGGAGTGTCTTAGGGTTGCTGAAGTAAAACACCATGGCCGAAAGTAACTTGGGGAGGAAAGGGTTTGTTTCAGCTTACATGTCCTGATCACAGTCTATCATGAAGGGAAGTCAGGGCAGGAACCTATAGGTAGAACCTGAAGCAGAGGCCGTGGAGACAAGCTGCTTACTGTCTTCCTCTTATTCTCCCATGTTCGCTCTTCCTTCCTTCCTTCCTTCCTTCCTTCCTTCCTTCCTTCCTTCCTTCCTTCCTTCCTTCTTTCCTCTCTTTCTTCCTCCATCCATCCATCCATCCATCCATCCATCCATCCAACTATGTATCTATGTATCTATCTATTGGTTTTTCCAGACAGGGTTTTTTTGTATGTAGCCTTGATTGTCCTGAAACTTGCTTTGTAAACCAGGCTGGCCTTGAACTCAGAGACCTTCCTGCCTCTACCTCCCAAGATCTGAGATTAAAGGCATACGACATGATGTCTGGAAACTCCTGAGGGTCAGCACACAGAAGATGCAGTCCACAGGGGGCCAAGGCCGCACCTTGTGCTGGCAACAGAATTTGGTGATGTGTAAGCCTCCCACTTACTGGTTTTGAGGACATGAAGAGGTCATGGAGCAGCTGAGGCTTGGTACTGTCAGGTCTAGAGTCCCCAAAGAGAGGCCTGGACAGGCTATTGGTGAAGATGTGGGCCAGGTGCCGAAGAAACCCCATTTTGGAGATGCCAGCACTATGGGATGACCTCCGAGGGCAGCAGCAGATGTGGACTGGAGCTGACCTGAGCCTAGGAGGTTTGTGTCCTGTGGCAAACCTAGAATACTGTGAGTCTCAGAAGCCTGACACAGATCTTTATGCTGTTGGACTTTTGTTTTGTTTTGAATATAATTGTGTCCTGTTTTCCTTCTTTGAGTAAGAGAGTGTTTAACTGCTTCATCATCACCATGATCTTCTTCCTATCATCATCACCATCATCATCGCAACCATTACCACCACCATCATCATCATCACCACCACCACCATCATCATCACCACCACCACCATCATCATCATCACCATCAACACCACCATCATCATCATCACCATCAACACCATCACCATCAACACCATCATCATCATCATCACCATCATCACCACTATCACCATCATCACCATCATCATCATCACTATCATCACCATCATTATCACAACCATCACCATCATCATCACCATCATCCTATTGAAACAGGGTTTCTCTGTGTAGTTCTGGCTATCCTGGAAGTTACTATGTAGACCAGGCTGACCTAGAACTCAGTCCCTGCCTCCAGAGTGGAGGGATTAAAGGCATGATCTACCGTGCCCTCCTATTTAACTTATTTTTATTTTACAGGAGCCCACAGTTTAGAGATTTTGAAGTTTTAAGGAGACTTCAGAATTTTACAGAGACTTTGGAGTTTTAGAGAGTTTGTAGATATTTTAGAGAGCTTAAACTTCGAGAGGGATTTTGGCTGTTTTAGAGAGACTGACCTGTTAAAGACACCGATGTTAACATGCCATCCTGGGGACAAACGAGAAAGGAAAGGTTCTAGTTGAATAATGACGTGTCTGTGTACCAAATTACAATTGTGCTGGTTAGCTCTGTGCCAACTGAATACAAACTAGAACCATTTTGGAAGATGGAACCTCAACTGAGAAAATTCCCTCACAATATTTGCCTATGGATAAGTCTGGGGTGCATTTTCTCGACTGTTGATTGATGTGGGGCAGCCCAGTTTACCGTAGGCAGTGCCACCCCTGGGCTGGTGGTCCTGGGTGTTATTGAGAAAGTAGGTTGAGCAAACCATGAAGAACAAGCCAGTAGGCATGCTTCGTGGTCTTCGCGACAGCTCCTGACTCCAGGTTCCTGCCTTGAGGTCCTGTTCTGATTTCACTTGATAATGGACTGCAAGTTATCAGATGAAATAAACCTTTTCCTTCTCAAGTTTCTTTTGGTCTTGCAGCTTTATCAAAGCAATCGAAACCCTAAGGCACCAGTCCTGCCAGAGCCACCAGGGGGCAGCATTACCAAGCCAGAGCAGGTGCTGTCAGCATGAAAACAAGACCGAAGGTGCCTGACCCACCCCAGTGTCTTTTCTTCCTGTGACAATCCTTTGAAACATTCTCGAAACAGCTACCTGCTTTAGGCACCGTGACGTCATGGAGTCTTGCTTTACTAATGATTTTCTGCGTGCAAATATAGTATTTGATTTATTGTTATTGTTAGTTATTATTATTGTTATTATTATTATTATTATTTTGCCTCAGCATAGTGTGGAACCCCTGACAATCCCCTTGCCTCAGTCTCTTGAATGCTGGGTTTACAGGTGTGAGCCTCTATACCTGGCTTTAAAATTTGCTTTATAAAATTTATTTAACTGGGGTAGTGCACGTGGCATGTATGCGGAAGTCAGAGGAGAACCCCAAGTGTCCCTGACCTTTGTTTTGCCTGAGATAAGTTCTCTTGTTTCCCACTGTGTACACCAGACTAGAAAGTCTCCCTCTCAGCCTTGCTCCCGGGCACGAGAGCATCGCGATCACAGACGCCCTGCCACATCAGGTCTTCCAGGGTTTGGGAATGCAAACGTAGGTTTTCACACTTGTATAGTAAGCACTCTACCCATAAACCCATCTCCCAAGCCCCTACAATTCAGCCTTGATTGAACTGTAACTGAGTGTATGTATACAGGTCCTGGCGGAGATTCCCAGCTGGATATGACTCTAGGGACTAGGTCAGTGGGCTGAAAACCTTCACCTCCCAGCACTTACCCTTCTGCGCTACTGCAAACTCCATGCTCCTCTCTCTCCTTGGGTCTCGTAGGATTTGTGGCAGGTTCTTTCCAAGGCTCATACCTCGTGTCTTGGCACTGTTCTCCAGTCCTGCCCTCATCCAGTGACCACTCTTCTGCCCTCTGCAGATCAGTTGCTTTTACCCACATTTGTATTTCCAGATCATAGAAAAGCTCCATGCAGGTTGCAAAGGTGCCGATAGCTCCGAACACCTACATCAACTTTACCGCATTTGTCCTAATATCACTCTCCCTTCCCCATCCCCTCGTGGCTGTTTTGTTTTCGTGCACCTTCAGAGAAAAAGAGGCAAGCAATGTGCTGCTTCTAAGACCTCTAAGAGTACCTTGAGGGCTGGGAGTGGTGGTGCACACCTTTAATCCCAGCACTCGGGAGGCAGAGACAGGCAGATCTCTGTGAGTTTGAAGCTAGCCTGGCTACAGAGCACGTTCCAGGACAGCCAGGGCTGCACAGAGAAACCCTGACTCAAAAAAGAAAAAAAAGTACTTTGAAGCTGGGCCGTAGTGGCACACGCCTTTAATCCCAGTACTCAGGAGGCAGAAGCAGGTGGATCTCTGTGAGTTTGAGGCCAACCTGGTCTACAAAAGCTAGTTCTGGGACAGGCTCCAAAACTACAAAAAGACACTGTCTCATAAAAAAAAAAGTACTTTGAAAGTAAGTGATACTCAGTAACCACAGTCAGACTTAATAATCAGGAAAAAAGGGTGTCCATAGAGCTCCTGGCAATATCTCCTTCTTTAGTGTTGCAGGTTATCTCCTTCTTTAGTGTTGCAGGTTATCTCCCTTTAGTGTTGCAGGTTTCCTGTGACTTCCACACTTCTAGTGATGTTTTAAAGCCATGGTACCAATGAACTTATAGTGATGACAGTGTCGCTTGGGTGAGGTGAGTCAGCTATGATCTTAGCGTCAGGTTAATCAGGAAACTTTGGCATTCATTAACTAATGTTCTTCTTAAGCAGTTCCTAGGAAGAATCTGGGTGGTGATTCTTTGTGCTCTAACAAATAAAGTTTGCCTGAAGGTCAGAGTGCAGAGCTAGCCATTAGTTAACCATAGTTAGTGGTCTGGAGGTCTGACAGGAAGTAATATGGCTGGGCAGAGAAAGGAATATAAGGCGGGAGGAGACAGGAGCTCGGCCCTTTATTGGTTGAAGAGTTAGCAAGGTAAGTGTTGGCTGTGGCTTGCTCCTTCATATCTCTGGTCTTTCAGCATTTACCCCAATATCTGGCTCTGAGTTTTTGTTATCAAGACCAAGTAGAACTCATTCAACGAATCTGAGATATTCTCTTGAGGCCAGGGTCCCCCCTCTGCCTCCTGCACCCATGATGCCCACTATTGTCAATGTCTAGTCAGACTCACCCGAGGTTCTGCCACCTGTGCTTTCAGTGGGTGTCTACGCTTCTGGTCTAACCTGGCGTACTTCCCTTCCCGCACACAATGCTGGGCTTTCTCAGCTGTAGACTGGGTGCTTATTCTCAGGAGGAATGGTCTTTTCAATAAGGAAATGGGTAGAGACCTTGATCTGGGCTCTAGTGTGCCTCCCTTCCCACAGTAGTATCATTTCCATAGCAGCAATGTAGTTGGACATATTTCTATATCTTTCTGTATTAAAACTGAGACTTTGTTCTAACATCTTCAACCTAAATCCAACAACCCAAATGAGTTCAACCTTTTTCCTTTCCCTCATCTTTGACTATGTGGTGGTTTGAATAAAAATGGTCCCCATGGGCTCATACTCACCCAGGAGTGGGCACTATTTGTAATGATTAGAAAGATTAGGAGAGGTGGCCTTGTTGGAAGAAGTGTGCTACTGGGAGAGGGCTTTGAGGTTTCAGAAGCCCATGTCAAGCCTAGTGTTTTTCAGCCTGCAGATAAGGATATACTTCTCAGCTACTGCTCTGATACCATGTATGTGGCCATGCTCCCTGCCATAATGATAATGGACTAAGCCTCTGAAATTGTAAGAAAGCTCAATTAAATGCTTTCTTTATATGAGTTGTCTTAGTTTGGGTTTCTGTTGCTGTTAAGAGACACCAAGACCACAGCAACTCTGACTTACGGACTCAGAGGTCTGGTCCGTTATCACCATAGCAGGACATGGCAGTATTCAGGCAGATATGGTTCTGGAGTAAGAACTGACAGTTCTATATCTTGATCAGCAGGCAACAGGAAGTGAACTGTGACCTACACTGGGTATAACTTGAGCATATGAGACCTCAAAGCCCTTCCCCACAGGGACACACTTCCTCCAACAAGGTCACACAATACTGCAACAAGACCATACCTCCTAACAGTGCCACTCCCTTTCTTTCAAACCAACACATAACTTGCCTGGACATGGTGTCTCCTAACAACAATAGAATAGTAACGAAGGCAGAAGTTGGTATCAGGAGTGGGGTCTTGTCATCAGGCTTTCCTTTAAACTTTTCATCTCCTTGAATACAGACTTAACTCCATTATACTACCTGATGCTTCTTTTCTCCTCAAACTGTACATTTTGTATGTCTTTTTGTCTAGCTTTCTCCTTTTCTTTTTTTAATTAATTAATTAATTTATTATGTATACAATAGTCTGCCTCCATGTATGCCCACACGCCAGAAGAGGGCGCCAGATCTCATTTCAGATGGTTGTGAGTCACCATGTGGTTGCTGGGAATTGAACTCATTACCTCTGGAAGAGCAGCCAATGCTCTTAACCACTGAACCACCTCTCCAGCCCTAGCTTTCTCCTTCTCATTATAGATGTGCATAATTAGAGTGATTACTAATAACCACATAACATGACCAATATGAGGCTGATTTGAAATCTCTTCTGCCAAGATCATTAATCTAAAACTCTTCAGTTTAGACTCAGGTAGAATTTTTGTACAAGAAAGCAGCCACATTCTTTTTCAAAATATCAGAAGAATTGTATCTAGGCTGCTTACTAATCTTCAACCCCATGGAAGGCCTGAGAAGGGAGATAATATTACTTGAGTAGGCAGGAAGTGCAATCAAGCAGCGTCCAAAATATGCAGTAGATGACAGAGACAACTGGCTACTTGAGCAATCACCCAAAGTCTCATTTGCAATGTTGAAGTAACCAACTTTGGCTTAGGCCTAGATTAACTGACAGACCATTTTCAAGGGCAGGAAAATTTTCAAAACTGTTGTCTTACCCTGTCTTGGCAAGATTTGACAGTCTTTTTTTTTTTTGGAATCCTACTTGTCCAGTTTGGACATTGTACACTTTGTCAGTGGTTGAGTTTTGCCAAGAAGAAAACAAACTCCGAGTGGAGTGTCTTTGATGCTCAACACTCTCTCGGGAATAGATTGGTGTTGCCAGGAGCAATCATGTCAACAGAATCCTAAGTTATTTAAATGCTATGGTCTACAGATCTTTGAAGTGGCTGAAGGTTACCTATCTATGCTGAATACAATTTCTATGTATCTAAAGAACCTAATTAGTCTGACTAAAAGTATAACAAACATGAATGACTATTGAACTATAATATTTAATACCTATATAACTTAAAGACTAAGACTTCATATCAGAATATTAAACAATCTTTAAACAACTGTGCAGTAAAAGGAGGACAATGACCTCAAAATGTAGACAATGTATAAATAACTTGATTAGAGGTAGAAATAGAAATATATAATGCAATGTGATAAATATATCCTAAAATTGTATCAATATACAAAATGTCTTAAACAGAGGTAGAAACATGCATGCATACAATCTGACAAAATAACTTTGTATAGGTATACAATATTGTAAACAGAGATAGGAGCATATTCAATATAACAAATATCATTTGAACTTGTATCAATATATAAAAATCTATACCAATGTAAGTTGTCCATAAATAATAGCTCACAAGTATACACTCTATTTACTCATTATTTTTATTATTATTATTTTAGTGTGAGAAAGTTCACACGAATCTATCTATTGTCCCATTCAGTTTTCCTTCTTTTTTTGAGATCTCTGGGCCTACATAATTTCCACCCAAACCCCCAACCATATATGAGTAATAATCAACCCCGAGATGATGTCCCTAATCTTGAGGACAAACTT